AGATATATGGATCTCCATTGGTGAATTCATGATGAAGACTTTGCATATTTCACAACGGTGAGACAGTGTTTGCTCTTAAGCGTGACTTCTCCAGCAAACGTCCATGTATCTTCATCTTGTGGTGCAACCATAGAAGTGTAACGGGAAACACAACAAACAACTCTCATCTTGTTACTTTGATTTGCCAGTTTGATTATGGATTCAATGCTCCTAACTTCCCAAGTATGATTGTTTGTCATTTCTTGTCAACTTGATGTCTGACAACCTTTGTCAAATGTTTCTATTTTATTTCTTGTAAACCTTTTCATTGGTGGTTTGTATTCGTGCTTTATACTACTTGTACTGTAACTGCATACATATTCTGAGATGAAATTTCTCTCTTCTGCACAAATAAGTTGGGCTTTTAATGTGTCTCCTGTGTAATTTTTTATTTGCTTTATTATGTAATATGTATATCATTTTCCATCTTTCCTTGCAGCATCATAAGTTTTAAATTGTATTGTTTAACTATTCAAATCCTTTTGCAGCCTTACATTGACTTGGTAAATAGTTACGGCACCGGGGAATTTTCAGAATTACAAAGTTGTATTGAGACAAACAAGGAGAAATTTCAATGCATGAGCTTTCTTATATTTTACTTTGTTTTCTTCCATAAGTTAACATTGATTTATATGATCCTTGTGTTAGACAGTTTTATATGCCTTTAGCTCCAATCAATTTTGATGTACTTTTGACATTTAGTGTAAATGAATAAAGTGCATGTTTGATTCATGTTGTGTGGTATGTTTCTATGTAAGACCCTTAAACTGGACACTTAATGAGACTCGTGTTAGTTTAGAATGTTCACAGCCATTAGATAAGTCTGGGGAGATTTATCCTGCCAAGGCTGACACTGGTGTGCTGCCAACTGTTGGGGTGGCCTGTCTCAGCTGTCAGGGTGAGACCCAAAGCACATGCAGTGTAGGATTACTTGAATTTTTGAATCGGACCAGATTTCTAGTATTGCCCTGGACCTTGGTGCTTGATGGGCAAAACTGGAAAGTTACACCTATCCCCTAGACTCGATTATGATATTGCACTAGGTATCGGATTGGGCTAGGTTGTCTTTGATATGCCAATCAGTGAGATCCTTAGCGGGGGTCAAAACCTGGGTATGTTGGGACAGTCTGAGAATTCATCTGAGTGGGTGATCATAGTGATAGGATCAGCCCCTTTGTCGGGCAAAGGTAATGATCGGGGATGCACTATCTCTGATGGAAACCAAACTGCCGACAGTTGATTTCAATCGTTGGAATTTTGTTTTGCAAAATTTATATAAGATATATAGATATATACGGTTTCAAAATGTTTGCAAATGGTTTTAATTCCCGGGATCCATATGAGCAGAGAGTGCAACACTGTTCCTTGCAGCTGAGGGAGAGGTTCTCTCTTGTCGGGCAGTGTTTGATCATTATGGGCTGAGAGGTTAAGTGTAAGGCCATTTAGGGTTATGCCTGATGGGTTAATCTTGCATCTGCCCACAGTCCTTGGGTTTTTATAAGATGGCTTGACCCAGGGACCACTTAGTGTAAGTGTTGAGCCCATAGAGTCCATGTGATGGGCTCAAGGGGTTCATTGGGCTCTCCAGTGAACCCAAGGCCCATTTCGAATTGGCTGATTTAATTACCCACTTAAGGGGCGGATCTGAGATTAGGGCAAGCCAAAGGATTGGGTCTTGACCCTATCCATTCTTGGAGACCAAATTCAAATATAGTGGGCTGACCTAATCTGCAGATAGGAGGTTTCTTAATCACTAAGAAAGATGAGAAACCCTAATATTGAATTACAAGAATTCGAACCAAGGGTTTAGCAGAAAAATCCTCTTGCAATTTGAGATAGGATCTCAGAAACCCTAGAGAGAAGAAAAGAAAATACGCCAACTTCAGCTCTAGAGTTCTCCTCCAGCCGTCGCCGCCATTCACTGCCTGGTTCGATCTCTCTGAGAGGGAAAGATCAAGAAGGTGTTCTTGATATCAATCTTTGCTGAAAGGCTGATTGTGTACGGTGCTCTTCGCTTCCATCGAATTCTTGTGAAGAATTTGGTTCGTAGGACGAACACTGTTGGTTCTGTTCCAGTATCATTGCGTCATGTTCAGTGGGAGCAAATCTTGGGAGTATTCTTTGGGCGTGAACACCGACGTTGGGAGATACCGACTCTCCATATCAGGTATAACCCTTCCCTTTCTCTTTGGTTCAGATCTGATTCGGTTTTGGTTCGATTAGATCCTTGAATGTTGTATTCTAAAATCAGGGAATATGATAGGGATGAGAGAAATTTTTGAAATTCGCCCACCCCGTTCCGCTGCTTTCTTGGTGTCCATACGATGGATCTCTCCCTCCTTTCACCTTGTTAAGGAAAACTGGGAGACATTGTTTCAGTACCTTCAGAGGTGTTTGGAAATAATCCATTGGATTCCGCTCCTTGGGATAACAGAATCTTACTGCTAGAAATCTTCATCTAAAGAGCTTGTCTTTTGTGTCGGGACAACAATCTTGGATTAGTGAAACAGGTTGTATCATCTCTATATAAGAGAAATATCCAGAGATTGACTCAGACATATTTAACTCTTTCACTTCAAGATATTGCTATCACAGTACAACTGAATACCCCCAAGGAAGCAGAGATGTATGTCCTTCAAATGGTATCTTTGAAACTTTAGTCCGTACTGATTGTAATTTGTTTTGGTGCTTTTCTGTTTAGGTATGGGTTCAATTCTAGTATTCTTTCTCCAAATTCAAGATGGTGAGATATTTGCAACAATCAATCAGAAGGATGGAATGGTCAGCTTTCATGAGGATCCTAAAAAATATAAGACATGTCAAAAGTCAAATGATAGATCATATTGATTCATCAATTCAAAGGTATGTAACTCTGCAAACATTAGCTAGTTGGCTAATGAAACTCTAGTCTAAACAAGACTTGAGATCATATTTTCTGTAACATTTAGGACAGATTAAAAAGTGTGCCTTTTCCCTGTGTTTGCTTTCATTTCATTGCATACTATTTTCTGTTTTTTTTTTCCCACGTGCACGCCTGGGGGGGGGTGTTCACCCGTGAAAATCCTTGATGAATAATATGACGAGAATTCAATCTGTTAACTTATGGCTGAAAGTACCAGTATGAAGGGATCGATGGTGTACCTTGTTTACAGGATAATGGCGTTGTCAAAGAAGCTTACTGCTGTGGATGAACATATCTCATGTGGTCCTGCTTACCTGGCAAAGGTATGTCGACTATGAATGTTCTTTGTCAAGTACAAGACAGTTTTTAACCATCTAATTAAACCTGTACCCAGGCTGGGAGGGAGCGTCATAGATTTGATTTTGATGATTTTGACACTGTCCCTCGGAAATTCAACATGTAAAGCAAAGTGGACAAATCGATTCCATTTTGAGAATTGCCTAGTACATATAGCAAGAAAAAAGTGGGTAAAAAAGATGCTTTACAATTGAGGCGATGAGATAAGCAAAGCAAATTGGTTATCTTAGGATATACATTGTGTTAAAAAGGAGCTTTAAAGTTTAAACTTATTGGGGAGGTATCATTCAAGATGGATACGAGAAATTATTTGCGTAGAACCCTGATTCTGTGAAAGCATCACCTTCTTTCATTTTGTCGTTGGCCCTGTGCAGATTGACAAACGAGTGAGACTGATCAGCTCCTTTACTGTTTCTCTCTTTGTGGGTCTCATCATATGTTGCTAATGGGAAGAAGCGAAAAAAAATCTTAGATGGTTCAAAATTATAGAATGTTTGTTGTGTGCAGCCGGGAGCAAGATTTAGGTGTTACCTGATCAAAGTTAGGAAGTATGACCTTGGTTAGCTGAGAAAGCATGGATCGGAGAGAAGTGCCAGAAAGAAATCAACCAGCTAAACAATGTCATACCATGTGCTCTTAAACATTCATGTTACTTATGGTAGATGCTATCACATTGAATGGGAAAATGAACCGTAGTTTATTTTTTTATAGATGTTGATATTTACCAATAGAAAAACAAAATGAAACTTAGGTTCGTCATTGGGGTATCATCTAGTGTTGAGATTGAAATTTGATACAGACACGTCTACTTATAATATAGCATGCAATGGTTGAATGGTTAAATTGTCATTATTGCAGTTATTATTAAATTAGTAATTGTTTTTAAGCCCTAGAATTTGCTTTGGCCTTGGTTCCAAAGCAAAATTTCAATTCACAAGCGTGAAAATGTAACTTTCAAGATTAGGTGGGTATCCAGCCTATCCTTCCTAATACTTCAGATGGCTCGGACCATCTTGGGTGAGTAAACTGTTGACCCGGGTGGTAAATCATTCAAATGGTTTTGACTGTTTTTATTTTTTTTATTTGTCAAAATGGACTGTTTGGTTCAAACGGTTGGATCATTCAACCCAGTAATTGGACCCTTGACCAGTTTGGTCTCCGAGTCGGTTTTAAAAATCATTGTTGAATATATTTGAATATTTTTAATAAGAATGTAAATTTTAATTATTTTATTTTCAATTTTTAAATAAAAAATAAAATAATTGATATTAAAAATCACGGGAAGTGGGGATTCCCGCAAGAATGGAGATCCCGATGGGGAGCCCCACCCCCCTACTGACCCATCTTTGTAATTTACTCAAACCCTTGGCGCCCAGAAGCCAGAAGACGAATGGTTGGAGTGCGACCCATCTTTGTAATTTACTCACCCTTGGCGCCCAGAAGCCAGAAGACGAATGGTTGGAGTGCAAATATTAGACATGGTATGTATGTATACTGACCCATCTTTGTAATTTACTCAAACCCTTGGCGCCCAGAAGCCAGAAGACGAATGGTTGGAGTGCAAATATTAGACATGGTATGTCTGTATCATAATGAATGTGACAATGCCACTGTAGCTTTCCATCATAAGGCCAATGGACCACATATGCACCCTGTTCTGTCTCTACGACGTAATTCATGTGTAATTTGTAATATAAAAAAAGAATGAATTTGACAGTTGTGGGCATTAAGGTCGGACCTGCCGATTCATTGTTGAAGTAGAAAAACATCGATGCAGTCATCATCCGCAACGACCGAAAATAGAATATGGTATAATTTCGGGGTGGGGGCGGGTTCTCCAAGAATGCTTCTGCCCTAATTGTCTCCCTAAAGCTAAGCGTGTAAGTTTCACCCTTAGCCCTTGGGGAACAAGCCATATACATACCATCAAATCTAAGACCGCATTAGTATCAAGGTACTTATGAGCACTGCATCTTTGTGGTCTTCCATGGAATCACCACAACCGCACATTGTGAAGAATCAGGTAGGCTCCATCTTCGTATCCCTTGCTCCCCACGACCTTCAAAACTGCTGCCGCCGATGCACCACGAATGATACCACCCATCTTATAACCAGACGACATCACTCAATTTGAACAAACTAATAAACAACCCTTTAGTGATGCACCAGAAAATCAAATCTAAAAAACAAAATAGGAAGTTAACTCCTGACCACACTTTCCCGTGACTAACAAACTAAATCCCAAAAATCAACATAATCACACCTTAAGGGCAAGACAAATAAAAAATAATAATACTCTGAAATTAATGAATTTCTGTTCCTCTCTCTTTGCAAAGCATATGCCATTCCTGCAGCACTGCAGCCTGAAGTGCACGATGCTCAGCCTCCTCTGCAGTTAAATTCGATAGGGTTGAAGGTCCCTTGGGTTTACCATCTTCACTTTCCTTTTTCTTCCTCCTCTCCTCACTTTCCTCTTCTTCTTCTTCTTCAGTAGGTTTTGGAGGTTGGGCTGGTGGTTGGGCTGCCTTGAGCAAGGCAATTCGTTCCATTGAAATTCTTAGCCTCTCCACAGCTGCCAATTTAACTTCATCTTCAGGCATGTATTCTACACCTCCATCTGTAATATCATCTAACCACCCCTGCAAATCTGATCCAATCTCTTTTGTGATTGATGCATCAGAGGCTCGGACCACAAATTTGCACATCATGGTTGTTGTCTCGTCTCCTAGATCAACATTTCTGCTCACTTCACTTGCGCCAAAGATCATCATGCCAATAAATCCACCATACCAAGTTTTTGCAGCAAAACACAGCTGTTACAGAAAGAGGAAAGCAACAACAGTTAACAGAAGCATGCGTCAATCCTGGGGGCTATAAATGTAACACCCAATGCTTGAAATCAGGCTTCAAAAAAATCCAATGCTTGAAAAAGAACACGTGTAGAAAAAGTTGAATAAAAAAAGACGACCAGAAAATGAAAACAACCATAACAGGATATCAGTATGAAGAAAGAGGACTAGACACTTACTTGAAAACCAGCCACTGTTCGAAGGATGTGAGAACAAACTCTATGAAATGGTTTTGAAGAGAGAGATTTCAAACCACTCAAAAAAGGAGAAGCCCCATATTGTTGTGCAGCAGTAGCTTTAAAACCACTCCCTTCATAGGTATATGCGCCCGAGTACTCCAGAATGGCAGGCAGGCTAGGCCACAGGCGGAAATATTCAACAGGTGAGATTTTGTGTGGCAAAAGAAGCTCAGTTAATGGAATCTTGTAGGGCTGACACCTCAAGACCACGGGTTCTCCAAGTTCTGGCCTTAAGCTTCGTTTTTGTCTAATGACATGTGGATCATCTTCAGAATAATCTCCCTCATAATCTCCTGGAGCACCACTTCCATAGAAGGGATAGTACAATACTTGAACCCAAAGATCGCATCTCTCAAAGTGGGAGACACCAACAGTGACACTGCAGAGCACTGGATCCTAGGAACAAAATCGAAGACCATCAAACTTCATCATAAGTTATAGAAACTAGAAAATAAAATCTATACAAATAAGTGTAGAAATTGAACCTGTGAAACAAGGTTACGCAACTGCCGCACTGCTTGAGGAGATCCATCCATGAAATACAGTGAACCAGATACCCCAACTCGAATATCCACTCTATTAAGTTCTAGTTCAGTCAAATTTAAAACCTGCAAAGTTCCACTGATTAGCACACCCTGCAGGTCATATAACGGCATGACAAAGAAACGCTTGCAAAATCTAGTTATAAATATGAAGCATTGATAAGTCAATCCAAAACCATAGTGTAGACATGGGCAAAAGCACCAATACTAATGGTATAAAACCATCTAAAAAGATAATTTAACACAATTAACTTGCAATTAAATACTTTATTATCCTATTAAAGAAGCAGATAGATCAGATTAATTTTAGTCATTTATAGTATAAGAAATTTTATGGTGAAAAGATTACTGTTGCTTGACTTGATTTTGGTGTCAGTAGAAAGGATTATTTACTTAACCAATATTCCAGTGGAACAAGATTATCTGAAATATGATTTGTGTTTAAATTGCTTTTTAGTGTATCCACAGTGTATTAAGGGACCCCTATGGTTGGCCTTGACTAGTCACTCATTGTAACTGAATTCTATTCTAAATCTTCAACACAAACTTCTCTTCCTAATAAACACCCTATAGTATTTTTGCTTATCCTTGAGCGCTTGCACTGCATATATCGTGTTCATAAAAGCATCAAGTACTTGAAAGCCCCATTTGTCATCATATTGGACTATTGACATCTGTTCTGTAGCACATTGGTGCATTAGTGATCATCTCCCTATAGTTTCATATGCTGTACATTATCCCCCACAATTTCAAGTATTCTGCATATATAAACATGACTCTGGAAAGCTAAGTATGGGAGACGGGGGAGGAAAAAAAGGATCATAGGGTATGCTGGAAAATAGTCAGTAGAGCTAAAAAGTAGGGGGGTCTTGGAATAGGAAATATCCAAAAAAGAGACTTATCTCTACCGGGGAAGTGGTTATGGAGAATGCCCAAAGAAAGAGAAACTATGGGCAAAGGTGGTGGTGAGCATACATGGGCTCTTGGACAATGGAAGGGATGCTGGTTCACTGCTTAAGGCTACCAGAGCATCTCCTTGGAAAGCCATACAAGCGTTTCTACTTTGTTTCTTGCCTCTTGTAAGGTATAATCAAAATTCCGGTAATCAAATCAAATTTTGGGATCAGATTTGGTGTGGGAACTCCTCTTTGAAGGACTTATTCCCCTCCTTGTTTGCTTTGGCGTGCTTCAAGAATGAGCCTATTTCCACTTTTTTAGTCCCTTCAAATTCAACTAATGGTTTTGACTGGAACCTTGGCTTTAGAAGAGTAAGGGATTCAGAACTTGATAGTGTGCCCACTCTGCTTCATACCCTCGAAGGAATTTTCCTTGATCCTGCTAAACCTGATGAAAGAATTTGGACACCTTCCTCTTCTGGATCCTTCTCCTGTAACTCTTTCTTCAAAATTTTAACCCAATCTCCCCTTAGTTCCCAGCAATCCTTTCCTGTCAGGGAGGTGTGGCGCATGCCTATCCCACCTAGGGTTGGGGCCTTTTGCTGGGAAGTTGCACATGAAAGAATAATCACTTTTGACTGTCTAAAAAGGAAGAAGAAAAAGTGGTGCCTTTCCCCTCATTGGTGTATTCTTTGTAAGGCTAACGGTGAGACTTGCTTTCATTAATTTATTATCTGTCCATTTGTTGTTGGCATTTGGGAATGGTTTTTCTCCTTATTTGAGTGCAGGTGCACTCATCTGATATCAAAAGCCTCTTTGGTCCAACTTCCCTTAGCTGAAGAAGATAGGTAAAATCATGTGGAGTGCTAGGGCAGCAATAATGTGGACAGTGTGGAAAGAAAGAAATGCAAAAATTTTTGAGAGAATGAAAGAACGAAGGTCTTGATCAAATCAATAGTGATTAGTGTGGGTCGCTGGCTGAAATCATTAGAAATTTTCTCACATGTCTCCACTGATGACATTATTAGAAATTGGAAGGAGGTGGCGGATTCAAATATCAATAAGCAACTTGTTGTTCCTACTTGGTCTCCTCCTGAAAGAGGGTTTATCAAGCTTAACTTTGATGGAAGCAGTTTGGGAAACCCGGGTATGTCAGGAATTAGAGTATTCGGGGATGGGGATGGTAAAGTGCTTGCACTATTCTCAGGTCCAGCAGGTGAGGGTGATTCACTAAAAGCGGAAGTTATGGCACTTATGGAAGGGGTGCAAAGGGCTGGAATCATGAATTTTAGGAAGCTAATTATTGAAGGGGATTCCAAACTGGTAGTGGCATGGCTACTAGATGAGGAAAGCAGGATATAGAAATACAACAATGAGAAGAAAAAATTCAAATCGATCACAAAGGATATGGAACTGTGAATACTTTGGGTAAAAAGAACTGCTAAACCGATGGCTGATGCATTAGCCAAACAAGGGGTTCGAAAAAATCAACTATTTTGGGCACAGATGTAACTTTTGATTAAAATCTAAAGGGGAGAGATAAGAGGACACCAAGGGAAAAAAGCATATGAAACTTTCTAACTAGCGCAATAAAGTCTGCTGGATCTGATCTATAAAATCTAAATTGAAATTTAACCGACTTTAGCAGTAGCAGTGGCTTCATAGTTCCAAAACATCTACCCCCTTGAAGTGCTTTTTTTTTGGTTCATGGGCATGGACTACACGATTGGGGAGGAGGTGCCCATATCCATAACCCCCCAACCCCGGTGGCAGTGGGATTTGCCCAAGTCTCCACTACAATGAGCCAGAGACCACACTAACTGAGCCACCATCAGTTGGACACATGATCTGAAATCCATGTATAAAGATAATTATACAAAGCAATTAGCCTTTCTTGAATAATTCCACAACATGAATTATATTTCCAGATTCCCTACCTCTGAAAAGGACATGGGTTGAAGTAGTGAAAAATTATTATTTTAGTAATCATGTGGCCAACTCTGTAGAGTGAAATGAATCAAATGATTGGAGGGCCCATAATTTAAAAATGTATATGGCACTGAACAGAGTGGAATGGCAGAATAGGATTCATGTAACCTACTCTGTATAGTTGGGACAAGGATTAAATGAGTTGAGCTGCATTTTCAATTTCTCCACTTAGGAGATGTTCAGCAAAATGTATGGTTTTGTCTTCAAAAACAAAACCACACAAATTGCCGAACACCCCCATATTTTACAGTTTGCTCATAATATGAATGTTATTTCCAAATTTAATTTAAACGACTCCCCTGTCCCTTTTCCATTGAATTTAATTTTTATCACCTATCTTACTTTTATTTAAATCTGTGGGAGTGGTAGTCATATGTTGCAGAGGATGATAGTTCCTTTTACAGGTAAGAAATATTCTTTTCTTCCCTCAATTATCACCTGAAAGGATTAAGAAAATTCCTCATAAAGCATCTCTATAAACTGGGTTTTGGAACCTTGGTACCATCTTGAAAATAAAATTTTATATAGATGTAGGCCTCTTAGAAGAGGTATCAGCTCTCCTTGAATGAAGCCACCACGGCCCATGAGATCAGAATACCTCAGTATCCCTTCCTCTTAGCTTCTAAACCAGAAAACCCTGGATTCTCCAATGAGCAACTACTACAAGTTTAATCACTTTTTGACGGAGACGACTCCAAAGCTGGGATGATGGCTCTAGCCTCTCGGTGCTGAATAACAAGCCAGAAAAGACAACTTCTCACCACATTATCCAAGGAGAAAACTCTGAATTCCTCTTTGATACTGTTTCAAACCATCCAAAGGACTGTTTCTCTCAAGCATCTCTACATAATATTCATATTTCTAAAGGCCATTTTCCATTTCAGATATATTTAATTACATTTTAAAAATGACTGCTTACAAATATTTTTAATCAAATTGCACATCGCTTCACTAGGGTGGTGTCATGTATCGTCTGAAATAGGAGAGCTTTGTCCGTCCAATCTCTCCGGTACTAAGACACTATACCATCCCTTTCCCTTTCCCTTTCCTGACTATCTTCTTGGATAAGAAAGAGAGAGAGAATATGCAGATTTAAAAGAACTAGTAGGGTCATCAGGTGGATTTCTTGGAGAGAATCCATTCTCCAATTAACTATTTCTAAATGTTTCTCAATAATTTTTTTTTTCATGAATCATTCACAACTCTTATGGGACTCTAGAAACAGTAAAGTAAGAGAGTTTTAAGCCACATAAACAACCACCCCCTATACTATCAACATTATCATAACTTCTTACTTGTCCCACTTCAAAATTAAATAACCGTCTATTCCCACTTAAAGCCAACACCTTTAACCCACTCAAATTGACTCATAACTCTTAACTTGTCCAATGCAGATTCATGGAACTTGCACTTAATAGAACCTTATAGATGCAATATCAACATGGCCATTAATTGCCATGAATTGCACAAATACTTACTAGATCAACCTTGTGCTTTTAAAGAACATAAATGCAATTTTTCTTCACCTATTAACACTGTCTTATAAACTTAATTGCAGCATAACATCACCAAGAATATAAAATAGTCTCCTAAACTAGGAATCACAAGTAAAAAAACTAATGAGGTTGGCACAAGTTTTCTTTTACAAGTGACTGGTAAGATTTTATTAATAATAAATTGTGTAGAGGTGAATCCCCTTCTACATGCAGGCCTGCATAATCTGATTTAATCCCCTTCTGCGTAATAGGCTGGTTTTTCGCAAGTGATAACTAAAGACATCAATAAATCCAGATAAAGCAGCTAATAGGTAGGCAGACAATATAAATACATTAAAGCATGGCACACATATGCAGTAAGGTTAACATAATCCCAAGTGACAGAACTCAGAAAGCATCCAAAATGGCTTTGACAATACTAACCTTTAGGTGCAGGGTGATCCTTCCATCATTCGAGTCTGTCAAATGATATGCTTCAACATAGCAAGGATCGCTACTACCAGTCAAAGTATAAGCACTTGGAGGCACCTTGAGGACAGTAGAGTCAATGCCTTTTGTCAATAAAAGAGTTAACTCACTAGGATCTGGCCTCCAAAGTTCCTGAATTGCCTTGTGAACTAATCCTTCCAACTTCCTGTCCTGAGCTGCAGATGCTTCATAGAACTGAACAGTAAGCTTGTGGTGGCTAAAAGGATAATCTCCCCTGGCTTCACTAACCCCAGCCCACCTGAAAATGACACATAATTAAACACAACTATCATGTACTGAAGTATAGTTTATTCCCAAAAATATTAGGCATAGAAATTAAATATACTTATCACAAGGATTTTATCATCCCTGGCATCAAGTTTTTCCAAGTTCCAACAAGATATTGCCAAGGAGTCAGAAAACAACAAAACTGACTTTTTCAGTAAATAAAAAATGTATGGGTTCTTATAGCAGAATGCTATTACACATATTATTAGGATTATACACTAACAAGTTCTTGAATACTTGTCAGAGAATGATGTTGAATGACCAAGAATATGAAAAAGAAAATATAAACATCATTGTGAAAACTTCAACATTGAGGCTAAACAATGCTGGGTTCTGTCAAAACTTTGGAATCAGAATGTGGTTGCAGCCAAGATTCAAAGTATCAATACACCTCTGTGTATCGGTACTTAAAACCATGCGCTTTTATGTTTTTTTTTCAAAATTTGGTATATATGTATATATATATATATATATATATATATATATTCATTAAAAAGGAGTTCCCGAAAACACCTGTAAACAAGTGTATCGGACCCCAAAAGATATGATACAATAAGCCCGATATGGGGCGTATCATATCTATACTTTGAACCATGGTTGCAGCAGCATGTTCAATGGTCTGGCTGCAGGTTGGTGACTAGAAGTAGGCTCTATTGGAAAGTAACAGAAGCATTTTTTAGAACAGCTCAACTCCTCTCAAGGCCTTGGGAGTATATCTATGGCCTGATCTTACTAACCAGAAAGCAGTTTAGAGGCATCAGCTATGAGAACCCGCATAGAAACCTAATAGAAGTTCTACACTCTTCCTGCTCAATTTTGAGGGTGTTGTGATCTGGGCTTTCAGTGGGCCAAATGTTATAGCCAATGCTTCCCAGACTGAAATAAGAGCTCTTCTAATGGGCCTGCGGATTATCTATCCATGGTTACTCCCTACTTGCTGAAGTGGATTCCAGAAACATTATTGGGTGGGAGCATGGAGAAGGGTCCTTGGAGATTCGCTCACTTCCTCAATGAGATAAGAAAAATCTTAGCTTCTATCAACTGTACATCCAGATGGATTCCGAGAGCTTTGAATCATATGGCCAAGTCTGGGGTGGATAGGGCTTTCTTTATGGTGCAAATACTTTACGTTTGTAATTTCCCGGGAGGCTTCCAGGATTTTGCTTTTTTTTTTTTTTGAAAAAGGTAAAGTATCATTGCATTAATATTAAAAACAAAAAGAATGCATGGTCCTCTGTACAAAGAGTTTCTGACTTTCTGTACAATATTCACATCCCTTAAGGACCCCCAAAAAAGACATAAAGATCAACATAAATCTTCCCCTCCAAAACATGGGAGATTTGATATCCAGATTTTGATCATTTCTACTGCTGTATTAATAATTACCCCCTCCTCTGAATTTGCCTTGTGATCAAATAATCTCCCATTCCCTCTCAAACCAAATGGCCCACAGTACTGATAAAGGCACAACTGCCCAGCAAGCTTTCCCTTTCTCCAAGAGACCTTGAATTTGCCAACTTGCCAAGAGATCCTTGGCCAAAGCTGGACAGAACCAGAAGACAGGAATGACCTTGCAAAACTGAAGCTAAATTCTGGAGGAGAAATTGCAAAAAAGGAATAGATGACTCTGGGGTTCAATCATCACATTACAGAGTGGGCATATAAAGTCAGGCAAGTTTACTTCTTTTTCATTGTACATATTTGATATTCCCATGTGAATCCCTCAGTCCCCCTATCCCTTTTTTGCCTAGCAATTAACGTTATCTTTTTTGCAGGAAAAAAAAAAAGAAAAGAAAATTTTAGGTGATTATTCCAGGAGGTAATTAGATGGTTGCCAAGGTATTCCTCTAGCAACCTCCCTCTTCAACACTGTCGCTTTATTGATCAGTAATATCATCAAAGAGATTCTATTAGAGGGAGAAAATGAGTGAGGAAGACTGCTTTCAGCTGATTTTGTTCTGCCTAGCCGGTGGGACGACCATGTTTCTTCTTCAACAATGTTGCAAAGATCCTTTGTATGCTAAGCATCATGGAGGTGTGGTATTTTGGAGTTTTGAAGAAGGGGCAACTGAGTTTTTTAAACATTTGCTGCATATTGTAGGCGACTCTTTTTTCCTCCCCATGGTGCCTCACAGGCAACTCCAGTGTTTTAAATGGGTCCCCTAAAGGGCTAAGGGTTAGGCAAGCACAACCAATGTGAAAAATATGTGAAAACATTCCAACACTTAGCATACAAATTGAAAAAGTGTTCCAACAAGTCTTCCATTAAGAGGATTAGAGTACATATAATTTCAGTACTTCTTGGTTATTAATCAGGTAGCTTGCCAATACCAATGGACATATTTAAAGAGAACATTGTGTGGCACTTTCTTATTTCACTTCTAGTAACATTAAAATAATATAAACATCATATGAATCAATGCTCACATTTGTCATTACATAAATGTTCATGTTTTGTTGTACCTCATTCTTATTGCCAAATAGTGATTGACTCACTCTAGCTTTCAAAAATTCAACAATTTCTCTTTTTATTGGTTGAAGTCAACAAATTCTTCCTGATGAGTATGGTTAAAAATAGAGGAAATAATTATATGTTCCCCGACCACACCTCACCCAAAAAAAATCATGAAATTCTGTTTTATGAAAAGAAAAGGTCATACAAAATAGATCCAGATGGATGAAGACAGCTCCCATTATTAAATGCAACACGTCTGAGAGAGAAGAGAGAGGAACTAAAATGGGAGAAAATACAACTATACAACTTCCATGTTCAGAATCCAGAGCAATTTTTCATAGACAGCAAGCAATAATAGGAAACATGGAGCAATAATAACTAATAGATGATCTACCCTACAAACATAGCTCGTTCTAAAGTAATGTTCCTTAAAATACTAGACTCACCCATATGTCTCATTCATAGAACTTTTCACAAATTAGAAAGAAGGAAAGCAATAATATTAATAAAAAATTCTGTCCTTTTTTATGCCAACATTAACCAAAATAATTACAGCACTTAACCTGCTTTCAGGATGACTTGTCACATATTTTATTCTCTGCAATATAAGACGGCACTGATGCTTGTTTACAGAGTCAGCGAGGCCATTACTCCTAAAATCTTCTAATTCCTTAGTCAACAGTTGCCCCGCCCTAGGATGGCGTGATCCCAAACGCTGAGCACATAGAAGAACTGCCTGCACATCCTGGAGCCTATTTGATGTAGTTGCAGATGAATCTACATTGAACAATACTTTGTGGATATTTGATATGATAATGTTCAATGGATCCTCAGGATCATCTGCCAGAAGTGGATCAAGACCTTCCAGATCAATATGTTCTGCAATGGCCCATATAAGGCGGGCAGATATTCTTGGGGTGTTCACCTAACAAGTGGGAAAAACTTATGTTAAGATAATACTCAAAAAATTAGAATAATAACAAAAATATAACACAGCAAAAAAGGTTCTGTAAATTAAGAAGAAGGATCAAAATAGAAATATCCATTAAGAGGGGATCATGTAGCATTGTGCACAAGCAGCAGTTATTTTGGGCATTTGCTGCATAATAAATGTGAGAATATTTGTGAACAAGGAAATTATCAAAAAATAAAAATATTAGTGAACAAGGAACAAGACATCAATACTAATATGGGACTCATCAAAGGTAAGCATGGCACATTGAGTAATAACTAGGGATGAGCATAAAGGGAACACAAAGGATTCTATCCTGAGACACTGTAATGGTCAGAGTGACACATTGAGTAACGACCAGGGATGAGTTCAGATGGACTTTTTTGTTTTTGACTTCAAAGGGATTATAATGGGCTCTATCCTGAAATGGTAGCAAATGGTGGCTGGTTCTGCCACCAGAAGATAGCTAAGATCAATATATCAGAAGCTCCAGAGTTGAGCAAGATAAAAATGAAATTTGATGGATGCCATATAAGAAATTGTAGGCCCTTGGCAACTGGTGGGATCATTAGACACCATGTTGGAAATATCTTGCTCAGTGACTCAGGCCTGCAGGTGAAAGAGCTTCACAAAAGGTTGAATTTCTTGCATTTCTTCAAGGACCGAGCTGGATTCCTCTCGGGATGGAATGGGTTGATGATGTAAGGGGACCGCCAAGTGGTGATTGGTTTGTGATCCTTAAGTATAGATGTTCTTTGGCCCCTTGGGTTCTTTTTTAGAGAAGCAAAGACACTGACTTAAGCCCGAATTGCTTGTTCAGGTAGACTCCAAGGGCAACAATTAGTCTTGCAGATGCTCTAGCAAGGGATGGGATGTTCTGGTTTGGGGGCACCTAGCCCAGAGGCTAATTTGTAAGCTTTAGCATGTGATTTATTCTACTGGAATGGTCAGCCTGGTGTTGTATTTGTTCCATTTATTCCAAACCTTTGGGATGTTGTGTTTCTTATTATTGATTACCAGTGCTGTACATGTAATCAAATAATGAATGATAAACTTAGCATTATCATCCCATCAATCAGGTAACAAACTAGAGAACATTTGATACATTATGGTATATGGTAGTAAAAATGCCATACAAATGCTGTAAAATGATAATCCATCCTACTTCCAACTTACCAGTTACTACACCACACTTGATGAGCATTAAACAACACATTAATGCATTGGAAGCAGTAGCATACAAAATAGTCTAGTGAACACACAGAGCGAGAATAAAAGCAACTTCTTGATGAACAATGCCTTAGGAAGCTCACGTGAGTAAAATAATACTAGCAAGGATAGCAATGTAATTTCTGAAAGAATTATTTGACGAACCTCACGTAAATCTTTAACAAGCTCACGCTGCAAATTTTGTAACCTTGTCTCATTTAGAATCTGATCCTGAGAAGCACCATCTTTAACCCTTTTAACACCTCCTCTAGTATCATATATATGGCACAGTCTAACCAACAACTTTAAATAACAATCAATAGCATAAGTTCGCCCCTCGCAGTCCCATTTAACGCAAGGCCTACAAACTTCTACCACTTCCAATGCTGGCTCTGTCCAATTCAATGCACCATAACCAGTTCCATAGGCCAAAGCTCCAATGACTCTGCTCTCTGTACCTGAATTCTTTTGCTCAGGGAGCGGAAGAGATAACTGGAAACAACTTTCCACCAGGGAAGCAACTAGCTCCTCTCTAAACAAACTTTTACTTGTCACACTGTTGAGGTCATCCTTTATCCTTACATCTTCAAAAAGCGAAGCAATATCAGTTCCAGGAAGGGGTTTTTGTCCTCTTCGGACACTTTCTTTTGCAAAAAGATCAACACAGAGCGCTGTTCGACATATACATGCCAGAGCATGCATACGGTCTGATTCTGCCCTCAGATTTCTGACCATAAGGAGCAACCTCTTGAACAAGGAAACCTAAAACCATACATTATATCAGGGCATAAATATATCTCCAATCATCTATTAATAACAGTATAATTGATCCAAAAAAACACTGCAAGCATGATAAGAATGAATCACTTATTCACAATTTTTTCTATAAGGTTTGCAATTGGAGTGCATAGATCGTGGATTAGGACTCATTGTGTGCTAAGTAAAGGCAGCAGTAGTTGTTTTTCTTATTTATTTTAATTTCTTTTTATTGGAAAATGATAAAAAGACTGGTCAGTCCATGATGTAAGGTCATAAAACAATAAGCATTAATATCTCGAGATAGTTGAACTGACCAATCTAGGAGCACAAATGTAGATAAACATGTAACTAACTAACAAGCTTTCACAAATACAGTTCCACAATTCTACTATAAGCCTCGGTTTAATATGTCCGTAATTTCCCTAATATATTTCCATTTCCATGGGTAGTGACACGAAATTTGACTGGAATCGACATTTCCCCAATGAACACTACCAGACCTACGTGGAAGAATAACATTGACTTCCATTTCCATGGATATCCACAACATATTTCCATTTTCACTTCCATGGGTAGCAACATGAAATTTTACTAGAATTGACATATTCCCTAGTGAACACTATCAGTACCATGTGGAGTACAAGAGATAGTATTATAACATAAGTTGGTGACGATATTGTAGATATGTGAAGTAACAAGTTATTGTGCACCTAACTTACATGATTACAACTTTGAGCTAGCTCAATATTCATTCCAAACATGAAGTTAAATAATAGTTTTTTTTTTCCTGTAATAGATTATTTGGTTGATCTATTACAACCATTTACATTTTCTATGAGTTTAAATTTTGCTTTAACTAATTCTATCATGAAGTTCTAAATTTTAAGGTTTACAGGGCAACTTCAGTACATATTCTTTTGTCTGTAACCTTAATTTCTTAGTTTTGTTTAATAATTTGTAACAAGATAATAATTTAAAAAGGTGTGCCTATGCTTCTTTTGTCATTTCATAAAATATCATTCTATATTTTGCATATTTTACAATGTTTCCACCATGTCTATAATATTTACAATATTTCCATATGATATTTCCGACATGTTTCTTATATTTGGATGACCGACATTTCCACCAACATCGACATCTTAAACCTTGCTATGAGCATAAACCACAAAATAGCAACAAATTATAACATCTGATGAGTAGTGGATTAAGCTTCAGTTAATAAAAGGCCATAAAATAAGCAACTTCCCATTCTTCAACGATCTTGCTGTAAAACAATAGGGAGTAACTATTATATAACTGAGCCTATTCTATGAATTACGATTCACCTTAGATGGGACCCACTCAATGGGTAAATGCAGTTCATAAGCCATTAGTTACATCTCAACCATTACATAACTGAGTGTTGAGATTGTCTTATTCTATCAGCCGAAAGTCCAAATAGAGGAGGATTGCCTCAAGTTGGTAGCTGACATTTAACTTCTGTCAAATCCTTATGGCCACCTAACTAACTACTTGGAAATAGAACAAATATTTGCAGCTTAGTTTGTTATGAGATCAGCTCATTAAAGCAACAATAGAAATGAAGAAGCTAGATCCCTAGATGATTATTATGGAAGAAAGTACAATTATAGCAATAACAAGGTTAAGGTTTTCAATTGATATGGATATGGGCAATATTTTCCCTTATAGAAAGGTAAAAGGAGCAAATCACATCCATCTGCAAGTTTCATAAATGTCAGATATATTGCAGAAAGCTTGTAATGGCTTCTAGGTTATCCATGCAAAAGTGTTCCATCAACCAGTACATAAAACCTGGTGGGTACAGTACACAGAAGCATAGTCTTTTAACAACATTGAAAAAATTAAGCTATGTATAAATTAAATAACCAGTTCACTTGCTACATTAGTATTTAACCTATCATTGCTATAAAGGGAACCAACTTGCATGTATTTTTCTAAGTTACTACAGTTCTTTATGGCATTAAGCTTTGGCCCCTATAATCTCAGATTGGTAAACAAACAATCACTTGAGGAGACAATTTGATTGGATGGAAACCTGCATATGAAGATCCAGAAGGTGTAGGTTTGTAACAACAGCTCTAACGATGCTTTCTCTAGCAGAAGAGAATTCTTGCCTGTCCCAAAGAGTGAGAATCGCCGTGATAGATGCAGAAGCCCATTCAGGCTTACCTCCAGGCACATCCGCTAGACGCAACATGTTAATTCCCACCTCAAAGATCAAAGCCGGATCCAATGACGCTAAGAAAGGAACCAGATGCGAAACCACGTCTGAAACCCCTACAACCTTTTCCGCATTACTCAAATCCGGAGTTGCATTGCTACTAGCATTTCCAGGAGATTTTGAGAGTTTCCGAAAAACCTCAACTGCACCAGAAGCGACAGCCTTCGCTGCATAGACAAGTGGAAATACAATAACCCTAAAGCTCTCAATCGGGAGAATCAAAGACCTGGCCATCAAGGCATTTCTCTTCTTCCAGACAAAATCAACCATGGATGAAACCCAATTAGAACGGATAGCAAGCGAATTTTCACTGTCAACAAGCTTATCCCCTGCTAACCGGCTCATCCTCTTCGAGTCAAACTCCAGAAATAACCTGCCTACGGACTCAAACGCAACCTTAGAAACAGCATCGGATCGATCAAGCATATTCTGCCCAATCCTTCTCCACCAATTTGAGACCTTATCCAGCAAATTTACATTGTTCTCGCAAAGAATGACAAGATCATCTCGTGCTAGAATGCAGCCTAGGGTTTCGGTAATGGAGTACCGGAGATTATCACTGGGAGAATCAAAGCAATTGGAGATCTCCTTGTTGCAATCTGTAATGAGCTTACCAAGACGATAAGAAGGTATTGCAGCGAGAATAGAGACAGCAGCGGCAGTGACATCAGGGTCGGGGAAGTCGAGATCTGTGCGGATGCCGGTACATACAGTTTCCCATAAATCAGTGGTGAGTCGAGTCGATCGGATGAGATCGAAAGCGAGCTTCTTTGAGACGGCAGACGCTGGAGACGCGACGATCTCTTCACATGCGGATTTTGCGATGATGGAAATATCTCTGCCGGCTGCTGACTGTTGGAGAGCTTGGAGAAGAGCACCGGACTGGCGGAGAGCATCATTCGAGCGCAGATCAGCTTGGATCTGAGCGAAGAGGATGTCCATTTACGGAATTTCCGTAGCTATGATTTGAAGATTTTTGCGCGCGAATGTAATTGGGGTTCTATGAGATGGTTTCCCTACTTTGCTCAAAGCTCAGTGTCATGACAGCGCTGGAATAGATATTAGTTGAATTTATCAGATTCTGGTCAAGAGATACATCTGAGAAGACACGTCATTGCAGACATTGCTTCTGTTCTTCTGCAGCTCGAGCTCTGCACTATTTCTCTCGCGGAAGGGAGAGGGACGAAAAGGCAGAGAAAAGCTTGAGACAGAGAAACGGTGCTTAATAGGAGTGAAATCTTGACGCATAGGACATTTTAGTTTTTACATCCTTTTTCTCGGCGGGTGTCCAAGGGGTGGCGGGGGCCACTCGGGATCTGCTGCTCTATCGCGCGGGCTACGCAACCAATACTGCTGGCGCAGTGGCGTGCTCACTCGTGATCGGTCACGTAGCCCGCGATTCACAGCGAGTTGGGACGGTTTTGTTAAGAGGAGATCACAATTTGTATGTTAAAGAGTTTGGGCCGGCTCCCAACAAAATGTGTTCCAATGCTATATATTTCTTTTTTTTTTGGTAATTAAGAAATAATGCTTTCATTCAGATAGTCAAAAACATCAACAGAGCCTCCCAGAGCTTGGGTCTGATGCACCATTTTGGCAAAGCTGTCCATGAGGGTGTTACATTCACGGGGAGTGAGTAAACTCAAAAGCCGTAAGGGACCTGGTTAAACAAAAGATGTCATAGCAGATTACACCAAAGGGACAGCAAGAACTGTCTTGAGTAGCGTTCCTAAAGTTGTAGAGAGAAGACATCACATCTTTAGCATCTGATTCAGAAATGAAACTACCCCTTCTCCAATTGGAAGCTTTGGAACAGCCAAGATGTAAAGCTAAAGCTTCTGCCATGGAGGTAGAAGTACATAAGATTTTCCTAGCTTGCCCCAAGATGATTGAACCAAAATTGTCTCTAATAATGCATGCAATAGTGGTGTCTCATGTCTTCAGAGAGAAGCTCGCATAAACATTCACTTTAAGCCATCTTGGCGGAGGGGGAACCCAATATAAAGTTAGGGAACTAGGAGGAGGATTGACATTTATGTTCTGCAGGTTAGTATTGGCAACTAACAGTCTCTACTATGCTGAAAGTAATGCACATTTTTGCACAACCTGAGGTGGAGAGAAGTTACTCCCTTTTGAATAAGAAAGCATTCCTGGCCTTCCAAAGCTCCCAGCAAAGGATCACAAAGTCCTGTAACCAATTAGTTTGATGCAGGGGAGACCCAAAATTTTGAAACTCCACCAAAATCCAACTTGCTAGAGAATGCTGACGGATGTCATATGATCTTAGAGCCAAATTGCTTGCTATCCAGGTTTCTCTAGCAAAAGAGCATTTAAAAAGCATGTGCATGACACTTTTTTCATCCAAAGAACAACGGGGAAAGAGAGGATTTGGAACAATACCCTTCTTTGAGAGGAGAGCATTCATAGCCAACGCATCAGAGGTGGCACGCTATAAAAAAATTTTAACCTTTGGAGGAATAGGAACTTTCCTAAGCTTCTTCCATACAGGACTAGGCAAGTGAAGGCGGTTAACTTGTTTTGACGAGCATCCAAGCCATTAATTGGCTTGGGCTTGGGCTCTCGCTAGGAAATACCCGCTCTTCATCGAGTACTTCCCATTCTTTGTAAAACACAAGATGATTTTATCATCAACTTGATGAAGACTTAAGGGGATTTTTCTGATAGCAACCACTTTAAGGGGGAGAAAATAGGCGATGGAGGACAGTGAGGTTCCAACAACGATGATTGGCAAGGATAAGATCACTCACTTTAACAAACTCACAGTCTCGAGGCTTCTCTCATATCACCTTACGATGACATAAGGTAGGGATCCACTTATCAGTCAAAATATCAATCTGGTGCCAACGGCAGCCACCAAGGCGATGACTCTCCCCGTGAGAGCGCTGCATCAGTATTGCCGAGGGAGCCCGAGGGGGAGCTGGTCCCGGAGACCGTCCTGGGGCCTGAGGTTGGGAGCGCTGCCCGAAGGGTGGCCGCCACTGACCTCCCACGCTAGGAGTTTATAGCTCCTTAGAGGTGGATCAGGTCAGGTCTTTGGCCAAGAGGTTCCACATACCTCGGACATACACACTTAAGATTTCTGGCGTCAGCGAACAACAGTGGACCCCCGACGAGGGGGAAATTTGCATATACCAACATTTTTTGGAGTTTGGCCATAGGTTTCCCCTTCCTCCTTTAATCTCTAAGTTGTTGGATTGGTATGGCATCACTATTAGCCAGCTCGTCCCCACTGCCCTTAGGACCATTATAGCCATGGTGTGTGGGCTCGGCTTCGGGATGTGGAATTGACTTCGAATAAGTTCCATGCCATGTTTGTGCCAAGGAAGCATGCTTCCGAGGCCAACATGTACTATTTCCATCCTCGGAGGGGAAAACCAGTTAACAACCCTTCATTCATCCACAGCTAGAAGGACACGTTCTTTTATGTCTCTTGTCTCGAAGGTTGGAGGTTCAGGTCGAGGTGGGGAGAGGCCACGTGGTAGTCGACAGGTGTCCCCCTCTGCTCTGGGACAAGGAGGCCGCTAACATAGCCCACCTACTCATGATGGGGACAATCCAGTCCAAGCCATTGGTGGAGGAGGAGGCTCCGTTAGTGTTCGCGGGGCTCAGCCCCTGCCCCCCTCGGTAGGAGAGGTCCTACAGTTCCTTAACACGTTGCCCCTCGTCTTCGTTCCACGATATTGATCTATTTTCTTTTTGCTTGCAGAACTGCCGATGGACGCAAAGAAGATGTTTATTGAGCGTGCTTGTGCTAAGCAGAAGGAGCGAGCGAACCAAAAGGTGAGCTCATAGACGCCGTAGAGGCCCGCCGAGGGCACACCTGCGAGGGACGAGCGAGCGCCTACCCCCACCAAAGGGGCAGCTTCACAACAGATCCCTGCCAAGGGGGCAGCTCCAAAGGTCCCTGCCAAGGGAGCATCTACCCAGGTCCAAGACAAAGGGACAACTCCACAGGTCCTAGTCAAAGGGAAGGGGTTGGCCGAGGTCACGAGGAAGCCAACCGAGGCTGCGAAAGATCCCGCCAAGGTGGCCAAGGTGGGTAGCAAGAGGCTTGTCGAGGAGGCCTTAAGAGAACAGCCACCGAAGAAGGTGGCCCACAGCGAGCATCCTACCGGGGATGCCACGGCGAAGGGTCCTCCTACCGAGGAGCACCACGTGGGGCCCTCATCTGCCCCTACATCTACATAGGAGCTCGTCGAAGGGGCCAAGCACCCTTCTAAGGTCTTCCACCCCCGATGGTCAGTTCACAAGGGAGACTCTATCACCGAGGAAGGGGTCAGCTAGGCCCTGGTGAGCGGGGTGATTCTCTCAAGAGATCGCTTCCAGATGATGTAGAGCTCGCCACGAGTCGTCTATGACCAGCGGCTGCACCACTTGGCCGAGGTAAGTTTTTTGTATTCATTGCGACATTCTTTTGTTCTTTCTCTCTTTTTTTTTGTAGCTTTGCTGATGGTTCTCGCTGCAGGCCTGTCTCCACTTCGTCAATCTGGGGGACCGAATGAGCCTCAACCTGGCCCACCTGGACAGGCTCAAAAAGGATAAGGAACTCCAGAAGACTGCTGCCTCTATCGAGGAGAAGCTCGCCAAGTTCAAGGTGGGCCACAAGGACGAGCAAGTGCTTCGGCTAAAAGCCGAGGAGAAGCTGAAGGAGGCGCAGAAGGACATCTCCAAGGAATAAGAGGAGAGGGTTCACCTAGAGAGCATTGTCTCTGAGGCCCAGCGACGAGTGGATGAGGCGGAGAGAAAGGCAGTCGAGGTGGCAGAGCGGGCCGCTAAAGCTTAAGGGAAGACTGTTGAGGCGCTGAAGTGGGCAGCCGAAGCCGAGAAGAAGGTGGCAGAGGCTAAAGGGAAAACTGTTGAGGCGGTAAAGCAGGTAGCCGAGGCGGCGAAGCGAGCCGAAGCAGCGGAGAAGTGGGTAGAGGACCTTGCAGATTGCACGTCTGGGATGTACCTGGACAGGATCGAGGACACCAAGAAAATCCTCAGGAGATGTTATCGAACTTTGACATCGAGAGCTTGAAGGTGATTTTGAACTCTCCCGAGGAGGCTGCTAAGGTCGTCAAGGTTGCCGGTGGTGGCGCAGACTTTGCCCTTCCTCCGGTTGGTGGTGAGGCTTAGGGGGGTCTTCTTCCTTTTTTTTTTTGTTAGTTAATGTAAATGTGCTCCTAAGAGGCTGCAAATTTTTTTTTGTAAAATTTGATGAAGTGTAATGATAAAATCAAGCATCCTTTTTGTACACTGTACTTATTTTATTCTCTGCAATGTGTTCTCCCTTTCTTTCTTCTTTTTTTATTTTTTTTTTACCGAGGGGTCCCTGCCCCTACCAACGACGAGACCACAATGACACACACGAAAAGTAGCTCGTATTGGCTTGCTACACGCACACCTTAGGTTGGTAAGAAAGGGAGGCCGAGGTAGAGCTACACGACCGAAGTGCGGCTTACTTGGCCTAGTTCCTTCTAAGTGTCCACTTAGGCAAGGCCGAGGTGGCCTACTGAAACGTTGGGAAGAGGCCGAGGTAGAGCTAAGGCTCGCCTAACTCTCTCCTCCCCAAGTGGTTGCTTTGACAAGGCTGAGGTGACTCTCTAAAGAGGTCTGGGTCTTGAGCCTAGGCGAACCGCCAAGTTAGTCGGGATTGCCATCTTTAGCTAATGGCACTAAGTGTAGAAGACCAAGAGGCCAGCTGTCGCCGAGGCGGGTGGTGAGGCGTGTGAGGCCTCGACCGTCCTGGTATAGTTTGGTGAGGTGTTTAGTTAGGGTGTTCACTATTAGCAATATGCCCTAACAATGGTCTGGAAAGAGGGCGCAGTTCTTGGGAGAGGCCATGCATCTTGGCCAGTCGCGAAGCCGAGGGGTCTTAGAGACCTGGTGGGTACACACGCTAAGCGTTGAGCCGAAGAGGAACTTTGCTTCATTCATTCATTACTTCATAAAAAAACTACATTCATCTATAATACATCAGGAGGTTCTCTGAGTTCCATGTCCGAGGGATGGGTCTTTTATCTAAATTTTCCAAATGAAAGGTGTTGGGGCCGATGACTTGCTTGATCCTATAGAGGCTTTCCCAGTTGGGGCTCAGCTCTCCTACTCTAGGTTCGGGGACCATAATCTTCCTGAGGATGAGGTCTCCCTCTTGGTAATTCCTTTCTTTCACCTTGGAGTTGTAGTAGCGGGCCACTCGTTGCTAGTAGGCAGCCACCTTGATTTGCGCTTGCTCTCGGGCTTCTTCCAACAGGTTAAGTTTGCTCTAAGTGCTTCACTGTTCTCGGCTCCGTTGTATGCTTCGATCAGAAGTGTTGGTTGGCCGATCTCTGTTAGAATTACTGCTTCCATACCGTAAGTTAGGCCGAACGGGGTATCTCCCGTGGTCGTCCGAGGTGTGGTTCTTTATGCCCAAAGAACGCTATGTAGCTCGTCAATCCACAAGCCTTTGGCTCGGTCCAACCTGGTCTTCAGTCTGTCTAGGATGGTTCTATTTGCGACCTCGGCTAGGCCGTTCATCTAAGGGTAGCCCACCGAGGTGTACTGTTGTCTGATGTCGAGGGAGGCACACCATTCTCGAAACTTATCATCGTCGAATTACTTCTGGTTGTTGGTGACAAGCATGTGGGGGAGGCCGAAGCGGCAAATGATGTTTTTCCAAAAGAAGCTATGGATTGCTCGAGTTGTAATGGTGGCTAATGGTTCAGCCTCTACCCACTTGGTGAAGTAGTCCACAATGGCGACGAGGTATTTCCTGCCTTAGTGTTTTTTGGGATAGGGCTTGATCGCCAAGGTGGTTACCGTAGATGCCTTTGTGAATTTCTCGGAGCACGTACTCGCCTCTTCCTGACGGAGGCAACGGAGGTAAGTTAAGGTGAAGGATATCCTATACAACTTTCCCTCTAGCAAAGTATAGTGTACTACCTGACGTTGTAGTCGTCTAGCTTCGTTCCTGTCATCCTGTTAGTAGGAAGTCAATAATGGGGTTTGATGAAGGGTGATTTGGCACGACCTAGTAAGAAGGGGACACATAAACGCGATCTGATTATGGGGTGACAACTCAGCCCAACGAACCCAGCTCGCAACATTCAGAGCTCGGGTATTCACCCACCTCGGCCCAAAAACCACCTTAGGGTAGAGACACCTCGAGGCCCGATCCAGTTCGGAACTTAAGAACCGAAGTGCTAGTTCAGAGCTAAAGAACCGAAACGCCACGTAATCGACTCCAAAGGCCTCCCCAATGGACCCCGAATTTCTCGGGATCACAACGAGACTCATCCTATCTCCGCCTGAATCGGAGGTAAACGATAAACCATATCAACACATTGCTCTCCTTAAAAAACAGAACAGATCTTATCCGCACAGCCCGGAGATCCCGGAGCTCTTTCGTAAGGCCCACGACTACTCCATTATATAAGGACATGAAACCCCAAGGCAAAGGTACGCATGATTATTTACTCACTAGCATTCAAGCATTCAAGTATTCAACTCGCATCCACAGTGTAGTACTAACTTAAGCATCGGAGCGACCTCACCGGGTTAGCCACCCTGGGTTCTCTGATCTACTATTTTGCAGCTTGGTCCAGCTCGCCGCGCAACTAGAGTTCGGATCATCTTCTAGCTAGGAGTATCTAGATCACGCACTATCAATTGGCGCCGTCTGTGGGAAATGATCGAAAGGTCATCCCAATTTTAGTTGCAGTTTTATTTTTCAATTTATCCCAATGGATTCTTCCAGCAACACCGGAAAAAGCATCGAGATGAATGTCATCGGGGGGAAAGATCAACAATCAACCTTCCCCCAAGGTCCTACGACATGCATTGGCTAGTTTACTATTCCTCTTATAGCTTCACGAGTCTCGTCACTGTCCGTACTGCAGAGCACTACGCAAGTGAGCGTCTCGCTTCCCCCAGTGGGCGCAACTTTCTCCGGGCCATCTGTGGTCCCTCCTGGAATTGGGCACTCCCAATTCCATGACCTCGTTTAGTGCATCCGGACAATACAGATCCAGATGCAACAGGTCCAATAGTTCTAACAGTATCGGCAGTACTATCTGTACCAGCAATATCAACAGCAGTTCCCACCATTGCAATCGAACCAGCAACCAATTCCACCCCGACACCCAGGGTTGCGTCAGGGCCAGAACCCGAATCGACCTGGAACTAGCCAGAACGTCAACCGATCCCCCCATCGGGGTGAGGAGGACCCTTGGAGTAGGTGCCAGCTTGGAATTGATACCAATTCAAAGAGGTTGTGGTGTATAAAATGGGGGGTATTTGACATTTTGAATGTTTATAGGTCTGCGGTGGAATTCAGAAATCTGCATTGGACCAATCCATACTTTTCCGAACCTTATATCCCATGTTAGGGTATTTCTTGATGGGATTCGACTCAGGTTATTTGCAAGGGAGAAAACTGGTAGTTTTGTGGATTTAGTAAATTGGGATTAGTTTATGGAACTATCACTGTTATATTGGCGTTTTCATTAGATATTAGATGAAAATCCATTAATCCATTAGGTTATACCTTTTTTTTTTGTTTTTTAGAAGTATGACAAGTTAACCCTCATTCCAAAAGTTTTTAAAACCGAACCGGTCAGAGGTCCAGTTACCAGTTTGAATGGTCCGACCATTCGACCCGAATGGTCAGTTCGTTTTGACAAAAAAATAAAAAGTAAAAAAATTAAAAAATTGGAAAATGGTCAAACCGTTCAAACGGTTCAAACGATTTGAATGATTAACCGGCTGGTTCAACGGTTTGCTGACCAAAATCAATGGTTTTGAGGGAAAAAGCAATTTTGGAGGAAAACAGAACCAGTGAGATGACCAGTTGCCGGTTTTTCCGGTCCGGTCCGATTTTGAAAACAGTGCCTCATTCAGAATGCAAAAACGGAAGGACGACTTGCAAAGATGTCCAAACTGGTTGTTTTAATTTGCTTAGTAAACAGAAGTTCGGGAGGCTCGCAATTTGTTGCTTGAAGACCACGTTAGAGGTAGTGAGGAACTTAATTGCATAAACAATGCGGGCTAAGAAGGAAGACGAAGATAGTTAATTAATTAATATATAAAGGATTAGTTTATCAGAAAGAAGCGTTTCGAGGATAGACTAAAAGATGAGACTTCCCTATATTATGTCCTCTCCTTGAGAGCATTCGAAGTTCATGCCCTGGAAACGTGCGCATTTTAGATCTCTTTTTCTCCTTTTACAGTCGAGCACTTTTTTTATCTGCTGCAGGGAGGAATGAGGGTCCTTTAAAAGCAAGGGCAAGAGGCGGGAGAAGGAAGAAAAAGAGAATCGGGGGGCGAGCAAGCAAAGTCAGATGGAAGACGAAGACAGCAACGGCGAATCCTTTCGTGTGGTCGTTCGAATTCATTGGCGAGCGAGAGAGTGAGAGCCTGAGCAGTGGATAGAGAAGAGGAATTAATGGACAACACCAATAAGGAGGGCCCAGCCAGAAACAGTAGTACTGTGATACCATTCTTTTCATTGCGAGTCGTATGCGTGAGATGTCTCAGTTTCGAATCTGATGCATTCCTTTTTCGCGTGTCCCCGTCGCCCTCTATCGTGCTCACTAGCTCATAGTTTACTAGTCATTGCTAGCTATAAATAAGGGCAACCTGATATTGTTTTCTCATCGATCTATTTTCTTTTAATCCATTCAGTAAGTTACTGGTACAACTTCTCATCGTTGTAACCTCCTAAGGGCCTAGCTCGATCGGTCTTCATCCACAATAAGAATGGATAGCCAGCCTCCATCTCGTACCTTGTTCCGCCTGCTTTCCCAAATTCGGCAAGACCCGGCTCCTCAGCCTCAACCTCCCGTAACCCAGACAAGGGCTCCTCTTCTTCGCACTGCATCACAACAGGCGATTAGACCTCCAACTGTCCCACCACAACCTGAGCCTCAGCCTCAGCCTCAGCCTCAACCTCCACCTCCACCTCCAACAGCTCAGCCACGAGTACCCGCTCAATCCACTGTTCCTTCAGCGCAGGTGGTTGAGACACCTTCAACCCCAAAGCTGACTTCAACGTCGTCGACTTCTTCACTGCCATCTTCTCCAATAACCAAGGTTTCCACTTCTTCGGTGCCATCTTCTCCGGTAACCAAGGCATCCACTGCTCCCCTGCCATCTTCTCCGGTAACCAAGACTTCCACTGCTTCCCTGCCGTCTTCTCCGGTAACCAAGACTTCCACTGCTTCCCTGCCGTCTTCTCCGGTAACCAAGCCTTCCACTGCTTCCCTGCCGTCTTCTCCGGTAACCAAGGCTTCCACTGCTTCCCTGCCGTCTTCTCCGGTAACCAAGGCTTCCACTGCTCCCCTGCCGTCTTCTCCGGTAACCAAGACTTCCACTGCTCCCCTGCCGTCTTCTCCGGTAACCAAGACTTCCACTGCTCCCCTGCCGTCTTCTCCGGTAACCAAGACTTCCACTGCTTCCCTGCCGTCTTCTCCGATAACCAAGACATCCACTGTTACCCAGCCATCTCCCCCTCCAGCGACGACCAAAACATCGTCTTCTTCTCTGACGACGTCTCCAAAACTCGAAACCGTTGTTCATGTGCCGACTCCTCCACCCAAATCTCCCCAGATCATCAAGTCTTTTCAACAAATCCAACCGCAGTCTCCCACGACCAAACTTTCGGCACCACCCACTTCTCTGTCATCGCCACCATCCCACCCACTAAAGGCGGATCCAGAACCCGAGACAAAGCCTCCACTGGTGGCTGAGCAGAAGAATGTGGTTGTGCAGGAGACGCATAAGACAATGCCAGGGAGTACTACTGAAAACTTACTGAGCAAGGTTGGCGAGGGTAGACCCTCCTCTAACCAGAAGGATGTTCGTAAAAAGTCTGAGGCGGGTTCTGCAGAGGGTGGTATGAAGGTGATAACCATATCAGGTGAAAACAAGGGTGCTTACATGGAACTCGGTTACTTCAACAAAAAGAAATTACAGGAGAACAAAGGGAATCCCCATCGTCTACGATCTGGAAGCAGCAGCAGCAGTGATCAATCGGGCAACAGCAGCAGCAGCGACGATGATGGGAAAACCAAGAAGAACGGTAACACAGCAGCAACGCCGGGAAAGAAGCAGCTGCCCGTATACGTTAATAGCAACGTACAGGGCATCAACAATTCTATTCTCTACAACACCACCTTCGCGCACCATGATCCTGGGATTCACCTTTCCCTCTCTAGAAAGCCATTCTCCAACCAGGACCAGACGGCGACACACGCCAATGGCCACAGCCACGGTGGGAATACTTGAACATGGCAAGCGACTGATGGAGTGAGAGACAGGGAGAGATATTCTATCTCTTCTCCTACTTTATCACGACAGAATATTTATGCCTTCCACTACAATCACTCATATATATTCCATCTCCCCATAATAAAGCAAGAGAGAGTGCAGTAAGATATGATTTACTAGATGAAACTTCATTCAACCATGCAACTCGCCTATGAAGGATTTGATATGTTATAATTAATGAGTTTTATTATATATCATAGCACATATGTAATAAGAGCTGAAATCATCATCATCATCATCATTAAGGCTCCAATTATGTAGTTTTTTTGTTTGGTCATTCCGTTAAGTTCAATTTGTATCAATTTATATGTATGAAGTGCAATTCCAGATCCCCCACCCCAAGTCATACGTCAGTAGCTGTTACATCTGAATAGTAAAGGTCCACGGCCCTTGATTTTATTATTGTAACATCTGACCTTTGTTGTGTCTGAAAGTTGCATTTCAATTGAGACACTATTCAACTCAAACATTCTTTAGTGATTAAAAGCCAATAGATTCGATTCTTAGTTCATCATGAATCAAAGAAATTAACATCTGACCTTTGTTGTGTCTGAAAGTTGCATTTCAATTGAGACACTATTTAACTCAAAGATTCTTTAGTGATTAAAAGCCAATAGATTCCATTCTTAGTTCATCATGAATCAAAGAAATTAATAAACATCCATTCAAGTAGTAAATACATTTATACGTGCATTTAAGAGTTTCTTCTTTTTTTGGATTTTGAGGGGGGGAAATTGATAAATGTGATTTTGTCTCTCATTAACTAAGAATCTTATATTCTTTTTTCACATTTATGTGGGGATCAAGAAAAGTTTATTTTGGTGGGTACCACTTACCCGGGTATCTCATAGGTGGTAAATAACTTTCTTTTTTTTGGTAAGTTCATAATTTATTAAAACCAGAAAAACAATATAGTCAAGAGCAGATCACCCGTTTGATGGGATCAGACAACAAAACAGATACAGCATTACAAGAAGAAAAACAACTTTCAAAACTTAACTTGGCTGCTTCATGAGCTGCAGAATTTGAGATCCTTGAGCATCAACTAAACCTGAAGTTTCTCCCAGAAGCAATGAGAATAACTTTCCTACCTATGGGGTAGGAAATTTGACAACACTTGAATGAGACAAAGATGCCCCTTTTAATAATGTATTTTTATGACTAAAATGGCCATTTACCTAATTTAATTGGGAAATAAAAGAACATGGGTAAATGTACTTACACGGGTAAGTGTTTTCCAAAAAAAAATTACCCAAATAATTGTATTTACCCGAATAAATAATTTATCGAAAAGCAAACAGGACCTAAATATATAAGGGGACTGTTTTGGCCACGTCGTGTTTTTTCATAAAATAAACAAAACAGTTGAGTTTAAGATACAATTAGTGGACTATTTCGCCGATCTAACAAAGTTTTATGTTTATAGAGGGTGGGAAAGAGACTAAGATACTCCTCAACATTAAACTAATTTGTCAACTGCAAGATTCGTTGATCATTCGAGAAAGTAGTTTTGTTCCTTCATTTACAAGTTGAAGGGCTGGAAGGGTTAAGGGGCAGACCAAAAAGGAACAGGAATAAGAAATGATTTAAATGCTCATAATTTAACAATGGATATTGTATTAAACAGGATGGAATAGGGAAATATGATTCATGTCGCTGATCATATATAATTGGGATAAAGGCTTAGGATTATAATGAAGATGACTTCTGTTCCTTCATTCAGGATTATAATTGGAATCATTCGCTGATCATATATGATTCATGTCGCTCATAATAACCATGACCCAACCTGTGAAAACACTGTTTGTTATGTAACCCATGCTGTCACATTGAAGTTCAAGATTCTTTGTTATCTCTTGCTCTAAGGGGTCGAGGAATTTCCTCCTTCCATGAAGAAGAAAAAGCTTTTCTCATTCAGGAAAGCTCCACAACTCAACTAGCAAACTTGCCCCAATGTACATATGACAGTGCCACTAATTGGAATCTCCGCTGGTTACAACCTATTTTGTTGACATAATGTAATGTTGCAAAGAATCCAAGATTATATTGCATGATATCAATTGGTTCATGGTGTTTGGCATCAGTGTAGTTTCCACCACGTCAACACTATATCAGAAATCCGTTTTTTTATGGGGGATTATAGTAGATAAGGGTAACTTTTGGGCCCTAATATCAATAAAAATAATATTTAAAAAAAAATCAAAAATAGGTTAACCTTTTAAAAATAATATCAATTAAGGGTAAAAATGATGTTCATCTTCTTCTTCTTGCAATCCATTCATTAGCACCGCTGCCTCCGGCAACGCCTCCACCTATCTCCGCCCACCTCCGCCTCCAACAACGTTGTCGGAGGTGGGTGGAGGCAGAGGCGGCGGCGGCGCTGGTGGTCATTCCTCTGCCCAACGCCGCCACTTTCGCCCACTTTCGCCTCTGCCTCTGGCCACCTCCGATAATGTTGCCAGAGGC